ACCAGCAAAGGACCAGCTTAAACCAGCAAAGGACCAGTTTAAACCAGCAAAGGACCAGCATAAACCAGCAAATGACCAGCTTAAACCAGCATCCCAGCGTCAAAACATACCTAACCAGCATATGCTGTTTTTTTCAACAGGGGGTGCTGTGATCTTACAGTCACATTTAGGTAAAAAAAAAACATTTTGTCAATAAAAACAGACAAAGCAATATAACTGGGCTAGTTTGGATAATGTCTCTGTACAGAACCCACCTCTGGGTATTTCTTGTGCTTTAAATAATCATTCACTGCCGGTTCAAAGTACTTAGCATAGCCCTCGTTGATACTGTAAGTCTTCCCCTTTTTCTTGATCTTCACATTTCTGTCTGTCAGAATGAATTCTCCAATTGCCTGAAGAAGAGGAACATAAAAAATAAATCATGTTCTCATGAGCAAATGTCACACACTGACATACAAATGTAGGCTACTATGATAATGTACTCTTTTATATTCGGTTACTCTGTAATAAAACAGAGTAACTGAATATAAAAGGGCCAAAGATGAGGAATCAAAACTAGTTCACTGCAGCCACAAAACATTCAAGACTTTCATTCGAAATTGAAAAAAGAAGTGAAGCATCCCTTTCAGTGTAAAAAAATATAAAAAGTCAAACCATAAACAGAAGTGAAACATACGACGTGTTATAAAGTATAGAATGTCTCACAGTTTACTACATAGCTATTTTTGGCAATATTATGTTTGGCATAGCCTATGTGCACTTTGTTCATATAGTTGTGAATAAACTGTAAATGATTCACTTGAATCGTCCAAAGTGTCTTCAATAAACTGCTTTCTAGTACTTTGAAATATTGTGACCATAAAACCCTGATCTCAGAACAGCCTAGATGCTCTAACATTCAGGTTGTAAAGTTAGGGGCCGGTTGCATGATGATCACACTGCACCCAGTCGCTCTCAAGGCTTGTGCAGAGTAACATGAATCAGTTAGATATGCTGAGTCTATGTTCCAGTTCAGAAAACAGAACATGAATTCCTGCTGAGGAAGTTGCTCTTCACTTTCCAGCATGTAACGTGTGTAAACGTCAGCTGATGCTGAGCACAGCCATGCAGTCATGCAAACTTCTGACCTGCATTATTCAGACTCACACTTTGTTTTAAACAGGCCTGCTAAGCAACATTTCCTGTTCTGTCGCAACATGTCATGAACATGTGAGTATGTTAGCTCGATCACATGAGGAACACCGTAAATCAGTGTGCATTCAACGGTTTAAGTTTGTGCTGTGTGTTGAAAAAAACAGCATATGCTAAACGTAGATTGGCCCAATTTTAATCAGAAAAGTGAGACTGATTATCTCTTGGCTAACTGCTAGTGGTCAAACTATTTCTTAAGACACAGTCTTTACATAGTGGCTATGTTTATGCAACCAACCCCCTGATGTTATTATTCATTCCTAATCGATCATTTCAGCAGATTTAACTGTTTGTGCTCACTGGATCCAGCATGAAGAAGTTAACTCCAGCTCCTGTACTGAGAGCCACTAGCGTTGCGCTGCCGTAAAGAGCGTAACCCGCGCACACGATCTGATTGCCCGGCTGTAGGGCGTCCTTGTCTGTCGGTTCTCCTTCTGAGGTCTGAAACAGGAGAAATAACAGAGTCAGCCGTCTGCCACTGGAGCCTCAGAAAAACACAAGATGTCAATCAAAAACTATTCAAATGTCTGTTGTGACACATCTTGATTGCATGTTTTTTATTGATATAATGCAAATTTAAAAATAACAGTTAAAGCAAATAAAATTGTACACACGTCAACATTCAACAAACCCAACGACGCCATCTAGATTGCATTTTTGTTACTGCAGTTTTGTATTTCTAACCATGATGAAAGATATAAAGCACAATGAACAAAACAATAAACTAATAAGATCATCAGCTGTGCCGTTGCTATTAGTTACACTCTAGTGCACGTAATAAAATTAAATTAAAAGTTAAATTGAATTTATTGCTTAGCCAATATTTGTCATCAGGCAGGTCAATGCAGTCAGCTACCTCGTCAATCTGCATGGGAAAGTAGCACAAGAACACCAAACATCAAACCAATCCTTTTCACACACACATGACAGAAAGCTTACACGAAAATTAATTCTGTTATATCATTATTATTTTTTTGTTTGCTTGCATGCATGCAAAAGTACACAAAATGCAACTCCAAACATCTTGCAGCAACTAATGCCGTCCAAACACTCACTCTTTTGTAGATGGCAAAGATGGTGCCTATGGGGGCCAAACAGTCAATGTTGGAGGAGCCATCCAGAGGATCGAAACAGACTACATACTTCCCCTATGATAAACAACAGATTCAACTGAGTATGCAGCTGAAATCAGAAGTACAGCGACCTCATGGGGTAATTATCTAAATTAACTCTAATAAAAATGCATTAGCAAAGAGGTGCTACATTAGCCTGACACAAATATTTACATAGCAGCCATAATTCATTTGAAACTAAATGGACGTTTCTTAGGTTTTATTTATTTATTCCAGACTTGTAATTTTATGTTAAGTACCTGACTCTTAAAGTTTCCCTTCATTTAACACATTGTAATTTTGATTGATGTGTGATGTAAACTGCCAGGAATTTTAAGACAGTTTTCTAAATATCAGAAATATATGTATGTATATATATATATATATACATACGTTATTGCCTTTTAAGCAAACAAATTTTAAGCCAAAATTATTCTCTTTTATATAATAACCATGTTTTTAAAAAGTAGTTCCATTTAATCATAAGCACCAATTGTCATATGCTTAATATTTACCGGAACTCCAATTCATATACATTCTTTTTCTTGTACCTTTGGTTCATTCATAACGCATTTATAAACACATCATGTGTTCAAAATTAATATATGAAGAGCAACATAAACGTCTTTGCTTATTTGTGGACAGAAAGATCATCCTACAGGTTTGAAATGACATAAGGGTGAGTAAATAATGACAGAATTTAAATTTTTGGATGAACTTTAACAATGAATATTCAAAAAGTATTCATAAGCAAGACTATTGAGAATGATTATACTCTTTTCTCAGCAGGTGTGTAGATGGCATCCTTGTTCTCCTCAGAAACCATCAGACAGGTGCCATAAGAGGCCCGCAGCATATTTATGATCAGATCATTGGAAAGCACATCCAGCTTCTTCTGCTCATCGCCTGTGACGTTCACCTGTCCCGCAAGGCCTTGACTGTGTTCAGTGAAACCAGAACATACTAATATTATTAAAAAGCAGCTACTGAGGTTCAGTTGCAAAAACAGTGATAAAATGGTGAACTGGAAAAACGGTGTAATGGTGTACGATTTTTTTCACTTATAAATTGCTATTAAAATTGACAAATAATTAAAGAAATGGTAAGTAGAAAGACTGAAATAGTATTTTCTTCTAAAATGTACACCAACAATCTTTGTTTTATAAACTTTAACAAATATTTTTTAAAGTGTGATATTTCCTTATTCTTAAATAGCGCTGCCATGAGAATCAGATTAGTAAATTAGAAATTAGCAGCCTTAAATGTAATGAATCATCTCTATTTTTTTATTATTATGATGATATTATATTAATAGTATTTCTTTACAAAGACAACTACATTACTAACTAAAAGAGTTTATTGCTTAACTACCCATACTAGAACTGTAACTTAAACGAGGACTTTCTCAAAAACCATAACTATGTCTATTTGATCTCGCATTTGTATTTGATCATTGGCTGAACTGAAAGAACTTTCGCCCGCTTCTATTTCATACAGTCACAGCATGTTTTGAAAACACAGTTACAGTAAAACATGTTCATTCAAATAATGCTAAATAATTCTATGAAACTTACAGGTGAACGAGTCCGGCTTTCCTGACAGCAGATGAAATAGCTTTAATAGCTGTTAACATGGAGTTAATGAGCTGTGTGAGTTCTCCGGTGGCCCCCTTCGCCTGCCGCCCCATCTCCATGACAAAACGTGTGAGGGTCCATACGTCCACATCAAAAACCGACTGATCCGACATCCTCACGGTGTCCGAGTGTACAAGCAGTTGGACAGGCAGAGACTAACTGTAGAGCCACTAGGCAGTCCTTTTACATATACTGTGAGTGGATGAAGGCCAAGGTTATATTGGTGAAGCAGATCAAGTAACACAAGTGACAGTAGAGTAGTCTGAATGCTAGTAGAGCCAGAGCTCAAAGGGCCCAACTTATAAAGCATGTTCCTTGGCTCTCAGCTAATTATTTATGTCCACTATTGACACGTGACACATACTCAGGAGTCAAAAGGTCATGGGTCACGAAGCAAAGCTCACAATTGTTTATGACAATCATGTCCCAGCGAATACTGGAGGTCTGTTAAATGGATCTCATTAATAATATTGCATATTTATTTATATGTAAATGTGTCCCTTATAACTCAAAATCAAACCTGTAAGCATGACTAAACACATCAAAAGTGTTTTAAGAAAATGAATATACAGCATGCTGCTTATGCATTATATTTGATTCACAGCACTGAAAAGTGCACTTAACATGCTTTCTGAGAACTTCATTTAAATTGTAATCCTCAACAAGCAGTGTTTATGCAATACATTTAAGCAATGGTACAGACGTCGCTCTCCAGATTTGACAGGTTGGCCAACGCGTTTCCAAACAAGCACTCAATCTATTGCCTCTTGCTCTTATTGCCTTAAATGTGAGTGCCTCCAAAATAATAAACTTATTAGCATCAGAACTTTCCAGACAACATTTCTCTCACAGAAGAAAAGCTGAGGACTCCAAAAGAGGAGAGATCACTGAACACAGGGAAGCATTTCTCTGATCATTTCTATACTCAAACTGAGCATAGCATGTTTCTACTGTACTATGCTACAAATAATTATCATAAGATTTTTTTTAAATGAGAGTATAATTTATAAACAGATATGCATGCACATATTTTGACCAAGGTCATGTACAGCAACACCCCAAAATGTGTCTCAAATGTCAGCAGGGCTCTACTGGCCTTTACAGAAAAGGTCATCTGCTCTTCATTTGGTTGCTTGAACTTGTTGTACAGTATGTCCTGTATTAAAATCTCTGGTTATATAGGAAAATATTACTGTATGATGAAGGAAACGTAGCATTTTTCATTCACAAGTGCTGTGTTCTCAGAGGCTTACTGAAATGTGCACACTGTAAAGAAATTCAGAAGTTGTAATGTTTAGTGTTTGGACATTATAAATCATAAATCAAAACATCTACATAATGTATGAGCTGTTAACAGAGCACACACATATCTCAGAAAGGCTCTGGTTTTGTCAAGAACTTTATTCACAGCTTCCCTCAATAGGGTGCAATAGACCACGGGTACCCGCTGATGGAGGCTCTCGGGCTGGATGTCCAGGATGTTGGTGGTCCCTGTGGTGGCCATCCCTCCGGCCTGCTCCATGATGAAGGCCATGGGGTTGCACTCATAGAGCAGTCTGAGCTGAAGAGGGAAGAACACAGATGAAGTTTTACAACTCTCTACCAGCCTCCTACCATATTTACTCAAGAACATCTAGTTAGGGCGCTACAGCTCCCTCTACAGGCCTTTTTGTGCATGTGACGATCAAGTCACACATTTTTTGAGTATACAGTTAAAAGCTTTCTCACCAAGGTATTTGAATTATGATATTGTGAAATGATAGCATGGCACAACTGTTATTACACAAGTATCTACAATGTAACCGTAACAGATCCGTTTTCAGCTCAGGTCTTCTGGATAAGAGGGAGTAAACATTGACACACCTGTAGATGTGACACCAAACAAAAGAACTGGAGCGAAGGTCATATATATACTTTTCATGTCTTCACTTCATTCATGTATTTCTTTGAATAGTACAGTGTCCCTAAAACATTATGGACTCTTTTAAGTGAATATATGAACGTTATTAAATTAATTAAACAATACATTACATATAAAATACTACATACTGTATAGCCATAGTGGATCATGTGACAAACTACACCTGTGGTTATAACTCTGTGGTTACTTGAGAAGAATTCCTTGGAACCAGTTAGTTAAAACCAACTGCAAAATGGCTCAGAAAAGTTAAGTTAATTCTAGTCTAGCATTCGCTAGCAGGTGCCACCATTTATTTATCTAATGCATTCAGACATTTTTAAGTGTCCAAATACTTCTTTGGGCTGCTGAATAAGACTTTTATCAAGCAACAACTAAGACCTGAGTAACAATTGTATGTGAAAATAATAATAATAAACTTTTAGGACAGGCTGTTAGTTGTTATGCTGTCCATTAACAGTACAATAAATGTATTGGCATTCATATACGCAAAGTCATGTGAATGTAAACAGTGTTTAGATGAAGTACCTTTCCTTTGGGGCTCTTCACATTTGCAGGGTAAAGGAAGATTCCTCCGTAAACAAGTGTTCGATGCACATCTGCCACCATTGAGCCTACATAACGGGCTCCATAGGGTGCACTGCCATCCTGAACACATTTTAATAGTCATACTCTAGTAGCTGGATATTATAATATTATTAATATTTATTTTTCTGATGTACCATGCATTTGATTATGCAAATGTGATTGAGGTCTATTTGAAATGTGTGCGTTTGTTCAGCTTTTATAATGATTTGATTAGTTTTAAGTGGAAAAAGTTTATTTAATTGCATACTGAACCTCCGGAAACTTTTTCTTCTGCAGGTACTCTGTGACAGCAGGATCAAAATAAAGGGCATAACCTTCATTCAGACTGTAGATCTTGCCTTTCTTCTTAATCTTCACATCTCTGTCAACCAGAATGAACTCGCCAATAGCCTGATGTTACAATAAATAACACAATAAATTAATGAATGCATGGCTTATTTAGAAGAAGAAGAAGAAGACACATTTACAGTAACATACTTCTTTAAAAAAAGTCGGGAGTCATTAAAAAAATTTAACTACTATGCTGTTTCATACTATTCCTCCTAGCTTTATGAATCATATCATTTCAAGCTACAAATGATTTACTACACAAAATGATATTCTTAGTTTGCTTTGTGTTGACTGAATAAACTGTACCGAATGATTCACTGCTAAATGATCCCACAATTGATAACTGTGCAAGTTATGTAGAGTAAAACTGACTCACTGGATCTAACATGAAGCAGTTGACTCCCTGACCAGTGGAGAGGACAATCATGGTGGCACTGCCATATAGTGCATATCCAGCAGCCACTATGTTTCTGCCAGGTTGCAGGGCATCCTTCTCAGACGGGTCGCTGTCTGTGCACTTTGAACAGAGCAATCATTAAAGTGTGTTCACGTTGGAAACCACATGGACTGTCATGGCTGTATACCTGCAAATCTATTAAAAATATGCATTCATACCTTCCTGTAGATGGCAAAGATGGTCCCAATTGAAGCAAGACAGTCAATATTGGATGAACCATCAAGAGGGTCAAAGCAAACCACGTATTTACCCTTGAAGACATGGTAGAAGCTTTGTTAATTAAACATTACTAAAGTAGTGGTGCATCTTGACTTTCATAACAGTCATTTAATGATTAATGATGATGTTGCTCCTATTCCGCCAAGACCAAATACATTAACATTGTCATGTACATTACCATGCCAATCCCTCCGAGAGTTGTCATGACAGAAATGAGGATATTTGACCTTTCCAAAACTTTCCTACACTCAACTCCTAATTCAATCTTCACTCATCCTTAAAACAATATATATTTATGCCTAGCTTATGTCTGATTTTAAGTCATTGAGGGTTCACAAAGCTTTTGACTAATATATTTCCAAGGCTTTTTCAGTTATTCATGATTACTGCATAAGGATTTGTTTTTAATTATTTTATAAAAGACATTTTCTAGAGCTGAAAGCTAGAAACATTTATATTCAAAATTAAATTTCCATTACTTTTTAAGTTTTTACTAACTTCTGTGTAATATCCAGGACTGGAAAAGGCCTTTTTAAAATTTCCTGAATATCCAGGTTTTCTCTGACAATATGAACCCTACTACATCTTAGCACATGTCTCTCGTCGTCCTTTCCTTAGATGTCAGATTAGATTCAGGATGGATTTCTGGCCAACAATGCAGACAAAGTTCTGAATTTCACTATATGTACAAATTAAGATCTAATCTCAGTTGCTGAAATCAGTTGGAGTCACGTGACTAGCTCTCCATGCTCTGCACAGGGAAGGCAAGTCTATCTGGAAACACACACTTTTCCATTCTTGGAATCAAAGTTAATGTAAGTCTGAGTTTTGGCAAACACTTTAAACAATACATATCTTGATTAAATGGTTTGGAGTAATTAAACACTTAAAGTAGTTCTTCCTCAGACAGCATGTATAACGCCTCATGCAGTTCTTACCCGTCTATCTGGCTCCACAATGATTGCGTTTTCATGTTCCTCAGTGACCAGTACACATGAGGTGAATGAGGATTTGATCATGTTTATGACGAGGTCATTGGTAAGGATGTCCAGCTTCTTAACCTGGTCACCTGTCACATTGGTACTTCCAGCAATGCCATACCTGCCAGACATTTTCCAAAGTCATGCGTTAAATCATATCACAGGGACGGAATAGATTCTTTTAAGTTATTGTTTCTCAATGCTTGTTCATAGAATTAATAAAGCAATATCACACTTACTGTACAACAGCACTGTTTGCATAAATAACCTGTATATACTGAATAATTAACAAACTGATATAAAATGCTTCATTTAAATGAAAGGCCATAGAATTATACCAACTTTTAAAAAATTATTATTATTAGTATAACTTTTTTTTTTTTTACTACTGGCATTTCCCAACACCACCATGTCAACATGACTCAGTTTCAAAAACAATATGATCTAGCAAAATGAGTAAATGAGTAACTGTACAAGAAAACCACATTTTTCATCAAAATTAGGTACATTTATATAAGAAACACTAAGGTAGATTGTTAAACATGGCAAGCAAATGTCAAGATCATATTTCACTCAAAAAAGAAAAAAAAGAAAAAAAAAATTTTTGTAGAAAGAAAAGAAACTTACATTGAGAACCCATTTGATGCATTGTGACATTATTTTCAGGACAATTTAGCGTATTTTGCCTAATTCTCATTATCATATGCATCCTGATGTTTTATTTATTGCCATTATTTTCAATGAGGATTCTCATTGCTTATTTTTTTAAAATAAAAAACTATATACAATAAAATTACAATAAATGCACCAATGATATACACATTTTATCATGAAATAAATAAATAAATAAATATTTCTTTATTGATAAATTATTTTGGACCTGGACATTTTTTTGACACGTTTCTTGTTTTAAAATAAAACAAATAGATTAGTTTTGCAGCTAATGTTTTTGCATCCCAAACTTTATGGAGTCCCAATCGACCGTGCATACTCACAGGTGCGCGATACCTGCTTTCCTGACAGCGCTCGAGATGGCTTTTACAGCCGTGCACATCGCGTTCAGGAGTGTTGTCAGCTCGCCCGTGCCTTTGGCTTTTCTGCCCTGTTCAAGCAGAAATCTCGTCAAAGTCACAACATTAGTGTCGAAAGAACCCCGGTCTGACATGACTGCAGATTTCAAGATTATTGCTGATGTAAAAATCTCGCTGTTGTATAAAATATGTCTAATTCGTACAACTCATTCTCTCGCGGAAACAAAAATATGAAGGCGGAAATACTGCGGAAAGGGGTGTATGGAGAGCTAAACCAATGAGAAGTGCACAGTGTGACTGACTGACTGACTGCGTGGAAGTTTCAAAACAATGTTGCATTGTGGAAACGGGGGTGTGGATGAAAGCCCCCTCATGCCTGGCCTGTGCTGTGTCATCATGATCATAGGGCTGACTAAGTGAGGAGCTGAGGTTACTACTACTCTACACGAGTAGAAGCAGTTTTAGGGTGAATGGAGACATTTCTGTTAACCCATTTAATCGCACCTGTAAGATTTCTGTCCACATTTTTGAGTTTGAGTGGTCTAAAAAGAGTGCATGATTTTCCACAGTGTTGTCAACTAACTTCAAGTACAGTCTTCACACTGCCTTGTTTGTTGGTTTTAGCTTGTCTCCCATAGGCTACTAGACAGGCTGGTTTGTTGGCTAGTTTTAGAGAGGCTTTAGGCACTTTTATCTCTATTTTTATTCAGTGGTTGTTCCGTTCTAAAATAAAGGCCAACAAACAAATAGAGTGGTTCCCCCTACGCATACATAGCCTACTTGCATACATTATTAATGTATGCAAGAGATTGAACATTTACTAAGATATACTTCAGACATTTCTCTGATACAGACAGTATGAAAAGTAGGCAGCAGCGACCGTGCATACTCACAGGTGCGCGATACCTGCTTTCCTGACAGCGCTCGAGATGGCTTTTACAGCCGTGCACATCGCGTTCAGGAGTGTTGTCAGCTCGCCCGTGCCTTTGGCTTTTCTGCCCTGTTCAAGCAGAAATCTCGTCAAAGTCACAACATTAGTGTCGAAAGAACCCCGGTCTGACATGACTGCAGATTTCAAGATTATTGCTGATGTAAAAATCTCGCTGTTGTATAAAATATGTCTAATTCGTACAACTCATTCTCTCGCGGAAACAAAAATATGAAGGCGGAAATACTGCGGAAAGGGGTGTATGGAGAGCTAAACCAATGAGAAGTGCACAGTGTGACTGACTGACTGACTGCGTGGAAGTTTCAAAACAATGTTGCATTGTGGAAACGGGGGTGTGGATGAAAGCCCCCTCATGCCTGGCCTGTGCTGTGTCATCATGATCATAGGGCTGACTAAGTGAGGAGCTGAGGTTACTACTACTCTACACGAGTAGAAGCAGTTTTAGGGTGAATGGAGACATTTCTGTTAACCCATTTAATCGCACCTGTAAGATTTCTGTCCACATTTTTGAGTTTGAGTGGTCTAAAAAGAGTGCATGATTTTCCACAGTGTTGTCAACTAACTTCAAGTACAGTCTTCACACTGCCTTGTTTGTTGGTTTTAGCTTGTCTCCCATAGGCTACTAGACAGGCTGGTTTGTTGGCTAGTTTTAGAGAGGCTTTAGGCACTTTTACCTCTATTTTTATTCAGTTGTTGTTCCGTTCTAAAATAAAGGCCAACAAACAAATAGAGTGGTTCCCCCAACACATACATAGCCTACTTGCATACATTACTCATGTATGCAAGAGATTGAACATTTACTAAGATATACTTCAGAAATTTCTCTGATACCACAGTGTGACTGACTGACTGACTGCGTGGAAGTTTCAAAACAATGTTGCATTGTGGAAACGGGGGTGTGGATGAAAGCCCCCTCATGCCTGGCCTGTGCTGTGTCATCATGATCATAGGGCTGACTAAGTGAGGAGCTGAGGTTACTACTACTCTACACGAGTAGAAGCAGTTTTAGGGTGAATGGAGACATTTCTGTTAACCCATTTAATCGCACCTGTAAGATTTCTGTCCACATTTTTGAGTTTGAGTGGTCTAAAAAGAGTGCATGATTTTCCACAGTGTTGTCAACTAACTTCAAGTACAGTCTTCACACTGCCTTGTTTGTTGGTTTTAGCTTGTCTCCCATAGGCTACTAGACAGGCTGGTTTGTTGGCTAGTTTTAGAGAGGCTTTAGGCACTTTTATCTCTATTTTTATTCAGTGGTTGTTCCGTTCTAAAATAAAGGCCAACAAACAAATAGAGTGGTTCCCCCTACGCATACATAGCCTACTTGCATACATTATTAATGTATGCAAGAGATTGAACATTTACTAAGATATACTTCAGACATTTCTCTGATACAGACAGTATGAAAAGTAGGCAGCAGCACTGCACAGTGGAAGGCTATATGCAATTTACATTTAGAGCTACATTGCTATAGGGAATTTTCATTGCAAAAAATATTTAAGAAGTGAATATTCAGCACTTGCCTTATAATGAGAAAGATGCAGTGATGGCAGAGTGTTTGGTAAGGATAGCTTTTTCAGATGGGACTTCTATGTACTTCATGAATTTATGCTTTTTTTTGTATTGTGGCTCCATACTGAACTACCTAATGTAACCACTAGAGGTCAGTACTGATTAAGTGTTCTGCATTCTGAGAAGCATTGTCATGATCCTATTTCAGCATAAACTTTGTTCTCATAAAGTTCTCATAAACTTTAAATAATTACAAACATCTTTATGCTTTTTTTTGTATTGTGGCTCCATACTGAACTACCTAATGTAACCACTAGAGGTCAGTACTGATTAAGTGTTCTGCATTCTGAGAAGCATTGTCATGATCCTATTTTCAGCATAAACTTTGTTCTCATAAAGTTCTCATAAACTTTAAATAATTACAAACATAGACATTAAAATAGACTGAATTTTTAGTCATAGCGTGCTATTTGCTAATTTAAAATGTATAAAGAGCAAGCTTCAGAATGACCTCTATTCAAGAAATAACAGTAACACTTTACAATAAGGTGTCATTTGTTAACATTAGTTAACAATTGATAAATTACTTTATTTTACATTTGACATTTTTTTTGACATGTTTCTTGTTTTAAAATAAAACAAATAGATTCGTTTTGAATTTTGATAAATGTATTAATGTATTAACTAACATAAACAATGAACAATTCATTTATTACAGTATTTATTAGTCTTTGTTAACGTTAGTTAGTTAAAATACAGTTGTTCATTGTTAGTTCATGTTAGTTCACAGTGCATTAATGTTTACAAACACAACTTTTGATTTTAATAATGCATTAGTAAATGTTGAAATTAATATGAGCTAAGATTAATAAATGCTGTAGAATCATTACTCATTCTTAGCTCATGTTAACTAAAGTAGTTAACTAATGTTAACTAATGAAACCTTTTTGTAAAGTGTTACCGAAATGACTCATGGCTGTTGTTTGAAGCATCCAAAATGCTGTTTAGACGTTTGAATATTTTCAGAAATTCTCTCATACGGTATAAAATGTTAATGGCCTACATGAAGCCAAACATCCCACCTCAACCCTCCAATACAGCCACATCACAAAAACAAAACAAAAGGTGATCCAGGTAATGACACCACATAGTATTAAGAATCAAGCCTATATTATGTAAATTTTGAATAGGGCATTTCATAAATTCAGCTATGAAATTGTCTTATGTGAAAGCACTTATTCAGGAGAGCAGTCAGGCTAGATTAAAAAATAAAATAACAAGCAATGTTATGATCCCTTATTTTGTTAAAATTATTAATAATTATTAATAATACAAATTATGAACATTTTACAGATTCTGCAAGGTGCAAGTCAACTTTTGACCACGACTGTATTTCACGACTGTAGGCCTACCTTGTTCAGCCACACATTAGATCATTTAAATTCCCAAAATAAGTGCAACACAGTATTAATTAATAGGAGCAGAAGTGAGAACATTCAACTTAAAGTTTTGGATACAATTAAAGGCTCAACATTTAGTAAAACCAACATAAAAGTCACAACTTTGCAAAGTTCACATAGCCTATTGCTAGCATGACTTGAGGAAAAAGTGAAAATGCCCCAGAAGAGATATAGATCCCAGCTATAGAATAAACAATTCAACTTAAAATATAAACCATTCTAATCATTTTATTGAAACATATAACACGTGGCTGACTTTCAGTGGCCCTGCTGATATAGTAGCCTAAGCAGTAAGAGGAGCACCTGCCTTTGTGTACTTAGTTATTTGTACGTCACGCTCTCACGTCAGGGAACATGTATTGTGCCTCGCGTCGAGTTCAGCGCGATTTGTGCTGCTCTTGTGCGCATGAGCGAAGAGGACGCTTCGCCGGGACTTGTACAAAGGGAGCGCAGGCACGGGAGAGGGACGTATAAACAAACTTCCTTGGAAAAAAGGTAATTCATAGTTCCGTTTTAAAAACCGCTGGCCGCATGTTTATAATCTAGACTTTATCGCTCACTTCAGGGAGCGCGCGAAAACCGATACAGCTACAACGGGTCTGCAAACGCTTGTCTTTCTGTGGGAAATGTTAAACTGGTTTATTTAGTCTCAGATTAAATAAATGAGAAAATAAATTAATCCTGACAACGATGTACGAAACTCTGAATCTGAGCTGCAGAAGTTCGCCGGGACTTGTACAAAGGGAGCGCAGGCACGGGAGAGGGACGTATAAACAAACTTCCTTGGAAAAAAGGTAATTCATAGTTCCGTTTTAAAAACCGCTGGCCGCATGTTTATAATCTAGACTTTATCGCTCACTTCAGGGAGCGCGCGAAAACCGATACAGCTACAACGGGTCTGCAAACGCTTGTCTTTCTGTGGGAAATGTTAAACGGGTTTATTTAGTCTCAGATTAAATAAATGAGAAAATAAATTAATCCTGACAACGATGTACGAAACTCTGAATCTGAGCTGCAGAAGTAACGTAGGAATAAAGGCGGCGGAGGACTGTGGTGCATTGGTCGCGCGACTCTTGTTACTTGTTGAAAGATAAGAGATCAGATACAGTATACTTTTAATGGTTAACAGGGTCAGATCTTTGTGGGCAAAAGATTTTTCTTCAGATGTTGTGTATTGAGACTACTCAGTTATCCGATGTTTTATGATCCCGTGTTTTGTCACACCTGTTCGATATTCTTGATGTAAATAGAGTTTCTTGTAAAGTATTTGTGTCTTGAAGCATGCGTTCTTCAATTTTCCCGCTACACAGTGTGTTTAAGTTGTTTTATCCGTTTGCAAGTGTGTAATGGTAGCCTACGTTGTTTGCTACATGGTCC